TCATATGGCAGCTCTTTATGCAAATTGCAGTTTGTGTTTTCCTTATTTCAGGGTCCATTTTAGTAATTTACATTTTCCTATGAAATCACCCATTTCCTCTGGGTTTCCAGTTTGTTCAGTTAAAAGACTTGATTTATCCTCTATTTGTCGTTTTATACAGAATACTTTGTTATTATTATTATTATTATTAGAGTCAGGGGTCTCACTATGTTACCCAGGCTGGTCTCAAACTCCTGGGCTCAAGCAATCCGCCAGCCTCAGGCTTCAAAAGTGCTGAGATTACAGGTGTGAGCCACAATACCCAGCCCAGGATTCTTAATTTTATCTACTTTTTTATTCTTTTTTTTTCCATCAGTAAAACTATATTCTTAAAACATATTTCTTAGAGTATTTTGTTTTCAAGTGACATAATTGCTATGTTTGACAATTTCTTATGACTCAGTAATGTATTATGTGTGCATATATGTGTGTGTGTGTATGTGTGTGTGTGTGTGTGTATATATATGTGTGTGTATATATATATATGTGTGTGTATATATATATATATATAGTTACTGGAACATTACCAGTACTGTAGCAATTACAATGCAATACAATACCAGTAACTGGTAAGATATGTTTATTAATTTATTAAGTATGCATAGCTAATAGAACACAGCTTGTGATATGATACATTTGGTCATGATTGGCTACTTCTGTTATACAGATTGAAAGGTCGGAAGAGTATTTTACTTCTGGTGTTCTTAATTATATCTCAGGTTTAACGTGACTTCCTAAGAGCATTAAAAATTCCTTTTGAACTTTATTATACAAATAAGGCACAGATTCCTTTTTATCGTTAGCTACATGACTAGCTATATGGACATCATAACGTCAGCTAAAATTGGGAACATTCCAGTGTTTGGGCTTCCAATAATTCCTTCCAATAATAGCTCTATGAGGTAATTTTCTATTTTACAAAACATAACAACACCTAAAATCACTCTTACAGTATCCTGTAATTTTTGTTTCTCTGATTTCATCACTTTCTGCAAAGCATCTAGAAAATTATGAGATTGAATATTCTTTTAACACTTCTTAAAAAAATAAATAATCACTTGTTTTAGAAAACATCACAGCGAAACATCAAATCATCATCATAAATTGTTAATATTCTTCCAATCCTTGAATATTGTTTTTCTAGTGGCAAGTATTTGTATCACCGCTAAAAGATGTTCATGAAACAGAACTAAGAGAAGTTTCTTTGGAATAAGAGAGCCACTCACAAGGAAAGAGCTCACCATTGAAGCATCATTTTATAAAGCTACTGTTTTGGAAATGTTGACTGTGAATTGAAATAGATTCTCTAAAGTCTGCATCTTTCCCTGGTGAAAGGTAATCAGCTGTTTACAGAGTGAACCCTTGGCCAGGCATAGTGGCTCATGCCTGTAATCCCAGCACTTTGGGAGGCCAGGGCAGGAGACTCACATGAGCCCACGAGTTGAAGACAAGCCTAGGCAACATACAGAGACCCATCTCTAAGAAAATTTGATGGTGCACACCTATAGTCCTAGCTACTCCAGAGACTGATGGAGAGGATAGCTTGAGCCGGGGAGGTCAAGGCTACAGTGAGCTATGATCACACAACTGCACTCCAGCCTGGGTGACAGAATGAGACCTTGTCTCAAAAAAAAAAAAAAAAAAAAGAGAGAGAGAGAATGAGCTCAGGACATAGCAACACAACAATGAAAGTAATAATAATGTAACACATAACAAATAATTATATGCATTATCATAAAATATGTTAAAGTGACGTTATTTGGAATTATGTTAGTCTGTATCATTTACTTTTCATTATAATAAATGTTTTTAATGTTCCTATTAAAAAACGGTAGGGACCAGGTGCAGTGGCTCACTCCTGTAATCCCAGCACTTCAGGAGGCCAAGGTGGGAGGATTGGCTTGAACCCAGAAGTTCAAGACCAGCCTGGACAACACAATGAGACCCTGTCTCTACAAAAAATTTAAAAATTAGCCAGGTGTGGTGGCATGCACCTGTAGTCCCAGTTACTTGGGAGGCTGAGGTGGGAGGCTGAGGCTGTGACCACACCACTGTACTCCAGCCTGGGCAACAGAGTGAGACCCTGTCTCAAAAAAAAAATAAGTAAATAATAAAAAGTAAAAACAGCCAAGCATGGTGGTACGCTTGAGCCCAGCAGTTTCAGGCTGCAGTGAGCTATGACGGTGCCACTGCACTCCAGTCTGGGCAACAGAGGGAAACCCTGTTTCAAAAAAAAAGTACAGCCAGTTATCACTGTCAATTACTAGTGATTAATAGTACAACTAATTAAACAAATAGGTGTTTGAAAAAATAATGTTTTTTAACAGTTTTTGTTGTTGAATAGTTTCAGATTTACATAAAATTTGGGAAGATATCACAAAGACTTTTCACATTGTCCAGACCCATCCGTATATTTCCTCTCTTGCTAACATCTTACATTAGTATATACATTTATCACAATGAATGAACCAATATTAAGTCATTATTACAAACTAAAGTTCATACTTTATTCAGATTTTCTTAGTTTTCCTAATATAGTTTGGCTGTGTCCCCACCCAAATCTCATCTTGAATTGCAATCCCCACAATCCTCAGGTGTGTGGTGGGAGGGACTGAGTGGGCGGTAATGTAATCATGGGGGCGGTTTCCCCCATGCTGTTCTCCTGATAGCGAGTGAGTTCTTGGGAGAGCTGATGATTTTCTAAGCGTCTGGTATTTCCCCTGCTGGTACTCATTCTGTTTCCTGCCGTCCTGTGAAAAAGTGCCTTCTGCCGTGATTGTAACTTTCCTGAGGCCTCCCCAGCCATGGAGAACTGTGAGTCAATTAAAGCTCTTTGCTTCGTAAGTTAAACTTCTTTGCTTCATACAGTCTGGGGCAGTTCTTCATAGCAGCGTGAGAAAGGACTGATATATTTCCCTTGTCTGTTTGAGTTCCATCAAGGATACCACTCAGTAATGATGTCTCCTTTGGCTTCTCTTGGCTGTGGCAGTTCATCAGACTTTCTTTGTTTTTGATAACCTTGAATGATATTGAGGAGTGCCGGTCAGGTGTATTGGAGAATGTCCTCCAGTTTAAATGATGTTTTTCTCATTGTTAGATTGGGGCTATTGGTTCTGAGAAAGATGATCTGAGGTAAAGTGCCATTCTTCTTACATCATAGCAAGGGCACATGCTCCCAAGACCCTGTTCACATTAATGCTGATCACCTGGCTGAGGTTATGTTTATCAGCTTTCTTCACTGGGAAGCTACTTTTCCCCTGTCTATACTGCATGTGGCCTTTGGAAGGAAATCACTATGCAAAGCCTTCACTTAAGAAGTGGGTAATTTGTGCTGCCTCCTTGTTGATTGGTTATCTGCATTAATCATTAGGAGTTCTTCTGCATAAGAGATTTCTATTCATTCATTTATTCATTTAATCATTTATATATGCCATCATGGACACCTGGATAGTTATTTTGAGCTTTCAATTATAATTTAATACTACATTATTTATTTTGATGCTCAAATTGTTCCTGCTTTGGTCACTGGGAGGGCTTTCCAAAAGCTCCTTCTTTGTTTGACATTAGATTTTTGTGGGTTTGTTTAGTTTTGTTTTTTGAGCACTTTCTTATTTTCAATCTTACTATCCAATCTTGTATTTTTGCTGCCCCAGTCCCATTGTTATCAATTTCTCCAAGAAGCTCTGGTTTCTTTTATTGGAAGATCGTATTAAAAACTTATATCTAGAATTCTTCCTAGATCCGTAAGAGAAGTGAGGTCACAGGACAAGCCTCAGCCCCCCAGAGTAGAGAGACCAACAGTTAGACACAAAGAACCACAACTGGCTGGGCACGGGGGCTCACACCTGTAATCTCAGCACTTTGGGAGGCTGAGGCAGGTGGATCACAGGTCAGGAGTTCAAGACCAGCCTGACCAACATGGTGAAGCCCTGTCTCTACTAAAAATACAAAAAAATAGTGGGGGGGGGTGGTGTGCACCTGTAATCCCAGCTACTCAGGAGGCTGAGGCAGGAGAATCACTTGAACCCGGGAGGAGGAGGTTGTAGTGAGCCGAGATTGCGCCACTGCACTCCAGGCTGGGCAACAGGGCAAGACTCTGTCTCAAAAAAAAAAAAAAAAAAAAAAAAAAAAAAGAACCACAACTACAGCAGAACCAGAGTGCCAGGTGGGAGGGGAGCCTGCAAAGCTGGTGGCTCTGGGCTCAGTGAGGATGATTCTGATAGCTGCAGGGGAAGCCAGTCATGGGGGCACATTTGTAAGCCTTACCTCCTGGAGCTCCACCAGATTCTCACAGTGAATCCTGGAGAGAAATCTCAGAGGGCTTCAGGCAGGTGGAGGAGAACAGGCACCATTTTGAAATATGCCAGAGCATTCTCCTCTGAATAAGATTTGTCCTTGGGAGAAACTTTTATTCCAGCTTTATTGAGGTATAATTGAGAAATGAAAATTGTATATATTTAAGGTATGCAAGGTGATGATTTGATATACATATACATTGAGAAATGATTGCTACAATCAAGCTAATTAGCACATCCCCTGCATCACGTGTGCACGTGGGGTTAGAACATTCGCTATCTACTCTCTTAGCAAACTCAAGTATCCAACACAGCATTATTAACTAGAGTCACCATGTGTGCGTTAGATCCCCAGAACTTGTTTGTTTTATACCTGGAAGTTTGTGTTCTTCGGCCAGCACCTCCCCATTTCCCCACCTCCCACACCCCCAGCACCTGGCAACCACCAATCTACTGTCTGCTTCTATGAGTTTGACTTTTTCAGATTCCACATATATACGAGATCACACAGTATTTGTCTTTCTGTCTGACTTATTTCACTTAGTATAATGTCCTCAAGGCTTACCCATGTTGTTGCTGCCAATGGCAAAATTTCCTGCTTTTAAATGCTGAATAACATTCTGCCTTATATTCTATATATACCTCACATTTGCTTTATCCACTCACCTGTTGACAGACACTTGGTCGTTTCCATATCTTGGTTCTTGTGAATAATGCTGCACTAAACATGTAATGCAGATATTCCTTCACGATACTGATTTCATTTCCTTTGGGTATCTTCCAAGAAGTGGGATTGCTGGATCATATGGTAGTTCTGTTTTTACTTGTTTGAGAAACATTACATTCCCAAGAGCAGTGTACAAGGGTTCACTTTTCTCCACCATCGTTATCTCCTGTCCTTTTGATAATAGCCATCCTAACAAGGGAAGCCTTGCTTCTCAGTGCTGTCGGCTCACAGTACAAGGAAATGTGTGTATTCTCACGTGGACACAGACTCATGGAACGTGTGTCTAAATTAAGGTAAGCATGAGTCACACTGATGTCTTCAGCACTAACCCATTAGCGTGTGGCTCATTCTAGCTTCTCTTCTCATCTGTAACTTCTCACTCCAGCAGTGAGAAACCAGGCTCATGCCCATCTGCCAGGTATTTAATTCATTGTGCAATTCCACACTAGAGGTAGAGTGGCATCAGAACTGTTAACTGTTACCCTTGTGGGAAGGAACTTTCTAAAAGAGACAGCACCATTTAAGTCCAGTCCCTTTGCCTTTAGCTTTCTGGATCTCCGTCATTTCCAAAGCCACTTCGATCCGCACCTTTCCCCCACCATAGGTGGTATGTTTGTTTCATACATTTGTGACACGGTTAGGTTCTTTGTCACATTCTGCATTCCATCCTGACATCCTCTAACCTCCTCAGTGACTATGTTAATTTGCATACCTTACCACATATTCTTTGGGTTGTAACCTTCTATGGGTTTTAATTAATGCATAACAGCAGGTGTCCACCGTTAAAGCATCATAAAAAATGTTCCTCTTCAAGCTCCCTGCTCCTAAAACCCCTGGCAACCACAGATCTGTTTACCCTCTTTGCAGTTTTGCCTTTTCCAGAATGTCATGTAAATGGGATCATACAGCACATAGCCTCATCAGACCGACCCATTTACTTAGCAATATAGATAGAGTTGAGTTCATCCATATCTTTGCATGGGTTGATAACTGTTTTTTTTTTTTTTTCTATTGCTTCATTGCATGGATATAGCCTGGTTTGCTTATCCATTCACCTATTGAAGTGCATCCTGATTTATTCCAGTCTTTGACCATTGTGAAGAGAGCTACTGTGCATATTTATGTGCTGCTTTTTGTGTGCACATAAGCTTTTTTAAAAGTTGGCTGAATAAGCAGGAGTGTGATTTGCTGGATCATAGAATGAGATTATATTTAACTTTGGGGGGAAAGCGTCAGACTGTCTTCCATAGTGTCTGTAGCATTACACATTCCCACCAGTAATGAATGAGAGTTTAATTTCTTCCACATCCTGTATGACTATTGGTATTGTCTTTTTTTTTCTTTTTTAATTTTAAGATTTTAGCCTTTCTAATCGGTGTTTAGGACTATCTCATATTGCTTTAATTTTTCTTCCCCTAATGAAAAATGATGTTGTATGTTTCCTGTTTATTTCCTATGCTTACCTTGCTTACCTGTATATCTTCTTTGGTGAGGTGTTTAGATCTTTACCCATTTTTAATTGGGTTGTTTGTTTTCCTGTTGTTAATTTTTACAAAGTACTTTAGATACAAGTCCCTTTTTAGTTACGTCTTTTTCAAAGGTTTTCTCCCAGTCTGTGTCCTGTCTTTTCATTCTCTTAACAAGGTCTTCCACACTTCTGAAAATTTTAACTTTAATAAATTTCATGTTATCGGCCAGGCACGGTGGCTCACGCCTCTAATCTCAGCACTTTGGGAGGCCGAGGTGGGTGGATCACTTGAGGTAAGAGTTCGAGACCAGCCTGACCAACATGGTGAATCCTTGTCTCTGCTAAAAATACAAATATCAGCCAGGCATGGTTGTGGGCACCTGTAAGCTCAGCTACTTGGGAGACTGAGTAACAAGAATCACTTGAACCGGGAGGTGGAAGTTGAAGTGAGCCAAGATCACGCCACTGTACTCCTGCCTTGACGACAAGAGCAACACTCCGTCTCCAAAAAAAAAAAAAAAAAAAAAAAGTTCATTTTATCAGTTTTTGTCTTTTATGGATCATGCTTTTGGACTTGTGTATAAACACTCATACAAAACCCAAGACCACATAGATTTTCTCCTAACATTTCTTCTAAAAGATTTTTAGTTTTATATTTTACATTTAAGTCTGTGAATTATTCTTAGTAAATTTTTTTATGTGTAAAGTTTATGTCTATATTCGTTTTTCCCCATATGGTCACCAAATTTTTCCTTTACTATTTGTTAAGAAGACTATAAGTCAAAAGGCTCCTTTTTCTCTGTGACAAAGATCGGTTGACTGCATTACATGGGTCTAATTTTGGTCTCCCTCTTCTATTCCAATTATCCACATGTTCAGAGTGACTAGAATAGTTTGATAATAGACAGATATTGGAACTGTCAGAGCATACTAGGAAAAATAAAGTTCCCGAAAAGAGGTTATGTTTGAATTCTGCTTTAGTTCCAACCCAAAGGCTGAGGAACACTCCATGGAATTTAATGATAGGGCAGTAACTGTGATCTTACCAAGATTTATGAACAGGAAGATCCTTGGTGATTGTTGTCAGTCAAAGGGTGGCTTTGACATAGCACCTATCTGTGTTAGGGCAAATACAGCCAGGGAAAAGGTGATATTTGGAATCATCTGGGATTGGACTCTTGATCAATAGATATGAAATGTCAGATGGACGTGAGAATTGTTGGTCTTTGGTACGTGTGTGTTGCAATGAGTAAGGATGAGTAATGTGAAGGAAAAATAGAATTTGGGATCCCAAACTCACTATGCCAAAGGGAAAGTTAAGCATGGGAGACTGAGTCAGGCAAAAACTGCCTTCCTTTTGTTCCCAAACAGACGGCTGTAATTCCACATGCTTGTGTTATATGAAATGTGAATTCATTGAGCGCTAATCAGAGCCCCACAAGAATGAAAGCACTTGCCTCGCTGCCTACCCTCCCTCCTCTTTTTTCCTCCCCTCCTGCTTGCTCTTTTCCTTTTAAATATTGAAGCTCTCAAAACTCTCATTTCTTTTTCCTGGGTATATTCTCAACCTGGGCAAAATAAACCTCTAATCAATGAAGATCTGTCTCAGGCACTTACTGGTTTACAGTAAAAATGAGGAGACGTGGGAGCTGATGTTTGGGGTATGGAGTAGGACCTGGGCATGGGGTAGGTAGTGACCGTGCATACAGACTGAAAAGACAAGGCTGTGATAACAAGGAAAAGCCTCTCCTCGCTGGTCAGACAGGAGACATATCCCGGTAAAACCTGGCTCTGGTGTCCACCTCTCTCAAGACAAACACATGTAGAAATTTGAGATAGAGATGGGCAGAGCTTGGTTTAAATTCTAGTTCTGTCATTTTGTAGCATGAGACTTGGTCACATTCATAAAGCTTTTAGAACTTACTTCACATCACTTGTTATATGGACAGCTGATCCATAAATAGCACAATTATTGTGAGGATTTATTTTTTTTATTTATTTTATTTTATTTTTTTTGAGATGGAGTCCTGTGCTGTCACCCAGGCTGGAGTGCAGTGGCACGATTTTGGCTCACTGCAACCTCCGCCTCCTGGGTTCAAGCCATTCTTCTGCCTCAGCCTTCCCAGTAGCTGGGATTACAGGCACGCACAACCACGCCCAGCTAGCTTTTGTATTTTTAGTAGACACAGAGTTTCACCATGTTGGCCAGGCTGGTCTCAAACTCCTGACCTCATGATCCACCCACCTCAGCCTCCAAAAGTGCTGGGATTACAGGTGTGAGCCACCACACCCGGAGGATTAAATAAGCAATTGCAAGTAACTGATTCAGAGAGTCTCAGTTAATGCTATGGGAATTTTTTTCTCTTTTGGGGACCTCACTCAAGGAGTTGTCTTCCCACCCTGTTCATGACTCATTATCACTATCTGTCCATGCAATACATCCAATTATTAACGTTGTTCTGGAAAGTAGTCTGCTGTTGGCAAATGCTTCAAAAACATAAATTATGAAATGCTGAGATGTTCCTGCAATGATAATTACTAAGGCAGAACTCCAGCTACCATTTCACTCAGATTTCCAAAGGAATCAAATGTCCCCCAAAACTAAGCTCCTTCTTCCTGTATTCTATGAGCTCTACTGCCGTAGGGTGACTGTGAGACACAGCAGTAGCATTAGAAAGGGCTCAATCCCTCTTCCTTTTGGTAAAAGGGGTTTTGTTGCTAAACTGACATAGTGAGCCACTGAACCCCCCAGCAGGGGATGAGGCTTTGAACTGTTATGTCCACTGTTTAACAGATTCCAAAGGTGCTTGGCTGCGCATTCAGGCCCTGGGGCATGGAGCTAGGATTGAGTCTCTGGTGCTGCCTGAACCTACACGTTGCGGAATCAAGATGATTGAGGGCAAGTGCATTGGAGGGTGGGGGCAGGGGGAAGCATAGGGGGTGGGGGACAGGGCAGGGTGGAGAGGAAGGGGGTAGGGCGGGACAGGACAGGGAGGGTCAGGGCCGGGCACAGCAGGGAGGTTGTCGCTCTGCAGGGCTGGGTGAGTGTTAGGGAAAGATGCTAATGCACCTAACCAAGAAGTATTAAGTCACAAAGTTTTGTTCTTGGTTGTGCAAACAAGAATCACCATGTGGCAATGAGTCAGGTCCTCCTAGGATTTGCCCTCAGGGAGGGAATTACATGACATCCCTGAATACCAGGTCTAAGCAAAGCATAAAACACTATAATTGTCCTCTTATTTTTCTATAAAATGAGGATTTTCATATGTTCTTTATGAGCTGCTGTAGCCAAAGCCTTCTTCCTTGTGACCTGGGGAAAAGGGCTCCTCCTGTTTGTCTTAGATCACCCTGCAGGTGCATGTGGGTTGGACCTGGTGGCACTCACTCCCAGATGAAGGCTTGGAGGTCCATGACGAGATGAATAAGACTGGGCTCTCATCGTTTCTTTATCCTTCTTCAGCTTTGTCTGCTTAGTTTTCAGACTATCCTGAGGGAGAATGTGAAGGAAGACAGGTGGCGGCCGAGTTCCTGGCAAGGAACCCACGGGTTCGTGGGGACTTGCTCTTTCTCCTGAGTTGATTACCCTTTGCCAGCAGATGAGCACATTTCTCCTCTTGGCCTGGATCTTCTATTAGTAAGTGTGTCTGAGAAGTATTCATGAACGTTCTGTTTCTCCAGAACCCTGGAATGCTCATGGCAGGTCAGGAACTGATCATGACATCATGTCCTTCCCAACATGTACACCAATTTTTTCACTCTCCATTGAGGATATCCTTTCAGGGAACATAAGTGAAGGGCTGTCCTTTTCTCATCCATCCAGTGCCATGTTGGGGAAATGACTCACTCAATCAACCATGTCAGAGGCTGCAGGGGTCTTAGGTGTGTGGTGACCACAGGTGACAGGGATGTGTGACAGCAGGTGCTGAAGGTCAGGCATGGAGGCAGGTGATTCATCAGGTGCTCAGCCCGTCAGGCCAGGCGGCTTCCACATACGCTACTTTGTCTCTATCCTCATCTGTTTTCTTTCACAGCACTTACAACTGCCTCAACATTGTTTGTTTACTTAAATCTAGTTTATCAACCCCTAGAACATGTCTTTCTGACCACAGCTTTTTGTC